TGACAAATAATTATTCATATATCTCATTTTCAACAAGTGTGAATTCAACGATGCAACATTCGCATACATACTTGCATCATAATGAAGTAATAATAAGAATACATCATACAATATCACAACCATCACCTACCTCGAAACAAACTTGAAACCCTAAGAATCTTGATATTTCCCTTTCTGGATTCGTTCCGCTTGTTCTTCATCTATAACAATCAATACAATACAGGAATCAACAAACAATCACTAATTATACGAAACTATAACAATTCTATGAACCCTAGACCAAACTCATCATCCCAATTATCCAATTTAAGGCTGTTTCATCATCAAATCTATACCAAAACCCTTCCCATTCATTATTAACCAATTCTACTACGTTCTACGGATCAAAAATATGGATTGGGGGAGCTTACCTTTAGCCTTAATAATCGTGAAAACTAATAGGAGTCGCCTGGAGTTCGTTTCTAAGCTCTAGAAATTGAAAAGTATCAAATAAGGTCATTTAGGGGTATATTAATGCATAAAGTCGCATCTTACCCGATACAACGACCTCGCCAAAGAGGCGAAATTTCCCAACATGGAGGTTTTTTTCTCAAACCAGTGAGTCATTCCAAGAATTCCAAAATCCCGATTTCACAACTCACCTCTAACCCGCGATGCTCAGAAAATACCTTCACGCCAAGGCCAATTTCCGGAGTTCACTCGCCCGAATTTAATTTTGTAAAGTTGTAGGGTTTCCTTAATGAGTTAACTAACTACCTATACAATCAAAATCATAATTTATTCACCCTATTGCTATCATATTTCTACACACCTTAATGACTCCGATTTCGTCTAAATTTAGACTAGATTGAAAAATTTCAAGTTATTGCCAAAAAGTTTTGCGACCCAATTTTTTTTCTGTTGGCTTTTCTATAACGAATGAATCCAATCTTTACAGTAATAAATATGATAGTCATATCATTGAAGTTATTCTTAGTCATGAAGAGGGCAAACATACATTAGACAATTGACTAGGAATCTTAGTTTTTGAAGATGTGTCTCATTAGGAAATATAGAGAACTTTTATTGTTAGAGATCCATAAACTAGTAGTAAATACTAGAATGAAATAGGTCCAAACAGAGTGAAACAAATAGTGAGAATGCACATGTCGACTCTAAGAAAAATGTAATTGAGGTATGGTTATAGTGGAATTAAAAAGAGTAATAGAAGTAGATGGATCCTTGTAGCCAATAAGTAATTGCTAACAAATTGATATACAAACATTATGAGTTTTTTCATCTATACTATATTGTTACATGCTATAGGGTTTGACCAAATGATAACAGAAACTTTCACTAGAAAACAAAGTAAAGCTTAATCTCAAATTGGGCTTTGGAATTTCATCACATATATACATATCAAATGCATAATCATAAACAAGGATTGTGTCATTGTCTTTAGAAAATTGCACCACTTTAGTCAGCTGCACCACTAATGCTGCCAAGTCAGTTGGATTCTTTCAACCATTTGTATAAGTTCAAGCTTGTCTGTGAATATAAATTGATTATGGTATATTTTGTAATACTATTATATTTAAACAATTTAGTTAATTTTCTCATATAAAAAACATGAAGGATTCATAATCTTGAATCAAACAAAGAAAGTTGTACATACAATTATCTATTAAAAATAAATATGATTTTTTCAAGTGTACCCCGTAAAATTACAACAGTACATTATCCATTTTAAAGAAGACATATGTTGATCAATATTTATATTATAAAATACAATGTTTATTCGAAAACACCGTCTTGATATATACGTGGATATAAAAAGAAAGATACAAGTTTCTAAATAATAAGACACAAACTTAAAAAAAAAATTACGAACATAATCAATGTTACTTAAGTTTACCTATAAACTATATGTTATCAATATTTTAACATAATATATTTTTAAAAAATAAGGAAAGTGCATCACTGAGTATAAGATATATGAGAACCACATAAGAAAAATGATATACCAATTCAATTGACTATTTATAGATACAAACAATTATTCTTTCCTAAATTTAGTCACTTATTACTTAGACGTTTTAGCATCATCTATATCATTTACAAAAATGATACTAAATAACATATGTTGCACGTATTCAAAAATTAGTAACTTAATATATCTAAAAAATACTGAAAACTTAATTGACAATCCAAATTTTATTTGTATCATATAAATTAACACAACAAAATAATATATATTAAACTAAGTGTACCCCGCAAAATTACAACGGTACATTATCCATATTAAAGAAGATATGTTGATCAATGTTTACATTATGAAATACAATGTTTGTTCGAAAACACCATCTTGATATATACATGGATACAAAAAGAAAGATACTAGTTTCTAAATAATAAAGCACAAACTTTAAAAAAAAAAATTACGAATATAATCAACGTTGCTTAAGTTTACCTATAAACTATATGTTATTAATATTTTAACATAATTTTTTGTAAGAAAATAAGGGAAGTGCATCACTGAGTATAAGATATATGAGAACTACATAAGAAAAATGATATACCAATTCAATTGACTACTTATAGATACAAACAATTATTCTTTCCTAAATTTAGTCACTTATTACTTACACGTTTTAGCATCATCCATATCATTTACAAAAATGATACTAAACAACACATGTTGTACGTATTCAAAAACTAGTAACTTAATATATCAAAAAATATTGAAAACTTAATTGATAATCTAAATTTTATTTATATCATATAAATTAACAAAAATAATATATATTAAACTCATACTAGTATATATATATATATATATTAGGAGGGTGGGAAGCATCTATTCACAACTAGAAAGTATTTAATTTGAGTAAAGTTAAAGAGAACAATGATTTTCACCTTAATATTTCCTATATTTATTTATTTATTGCCCCAAAAAAAACATCAAAATATGACTAGGATTGTGTGTAGGTAAGTTCTTGGAATAAGTCTCCCCCCCCCCCCCCCCCCCAATGCCGCCTGACTTGAAATAGAGAACTCACCTACTTTTCTTTTTTTTTTTGTCATTTTTCACAAACCTAACTTTTTAAAACTAGACTAGTTGCTGCATTTTTATATTGGTCCTACTACTTTAAACAAAGAGCATCATATTTACTCATGGGGAAATAACTATTTTCCTCATTAAATTGTTGTCATACTTTCTCTCTTTTAAAAAGGAGATTGGTAGTCTCGTGAGGGTAATTTATCGAAAAAGAAGAAGTGAAATTTTGAAAGATCTGTATTAAAATTGTATAGAATATAAACCATAGTTATAATATAAGTTAAATTGGATATTATACATTACTATAAAGTTGATAGTATATCGGAACAAAATAATACATTTCTAACAACGTATACAAATTTATATAGTACCTGAATGTTTGAATTTCATATATAATACTTATAATATATTTATATTAAAAATATTTTAGTTATATATTCACCACATGCATTAAAAATATATCTATAATGTATAACATATTGAATCCAAAATGTATTATAACTGTTGTTTATTTTTTCTCTTATCAATGGTACAAAAATCTCTTATTGTATTAAAAATGTTTTAGTTATACGTTTAACATGTGCAATGAAACATGTCTATAATATTTATTATATATTGAGTGCAACTTTATTACAATTGTTATTTTTCCCCTCTTATTAACCGTGTTAAAATATATTATTGTATGAAAAATATTTTTGTTATATATTCACAATGGGCATTTAAAAATGCATATCAGATATATAATGTATTGAATTCAAACGCTGTTATAAGTATAATTTATATTTATTTATTTATTTTAATGTAAACATCATTGAAACAATTGAAACTTTAAGAAGAAAAAAGAGAGGACAAAAATGATTGAAGAAAAGAAAAAAAATGAAAAAGAGAGAAAATAATGAAAAAAAAGGAAATAAAACTAACATAAAACAAAAATAAAAATGAAAGAGAGATAAAATTATGAAAGAAAAGAGATGAAAGTAATAACTAAAGAAAAGACAATAATGAAAGAGACATAAAATTATGAAAGAAAGAGAGGGAAAAAAATGACAAAAGAAAAGATAAAAATGAAAGCGATAGGAAATGACGGAATAAAAGAGAAAGAAAATGTATTAGCGGAAGAGAGAATAGGAAAAAATGATAAATATACCTCTTAATTATTGTGATTATTTGCAGATATTTTAGTTATATTTTTAGGTCATTAATGTTTATGCCGTCGAAAAATTAGAGTATAAATTTCTTTTATTTTATCGGAAAATTAAATAGAGACATTTGACATAATCTTATCCGTTTAATTTGATAATTAACAAATATAAGATTGATGAATAAAATTATGATACTTATATATTTGTTCTCGTTAATATAAAGGGTATACATACACTAATTTTTGAAAGACATGATCACTAATATTCTAAAAGTATATGAAAATTACAATAATTTAAGAATATATTTATTATTTTTCCTATGAGAATATAAAGATAAAATTTTGTTTTGCTAGTATTTCCATTAACAAAACTAATACTACTATTCTCAATAAGAAATACATATTATACCATAATTCATAATAATGAATTATATTAATATGTATGTTAAATGACCAATAATAATCCTTTATTATTTAGACAATCTAGCAGGGGATGAGTATGAATTCAGTTAGATACTCGGATCCCTAATTATAAGTTGTGTTATAAATAATTAGAGGTTTATTTGAAATATATTATGAAAAAGTTATTAAGAAATTAATAATTTCTTGAAACTATTTTCAAGCTTAGGTCAATGTATGATTTTTTAAATTTATTTAAGTATGATTTAAATTTGTAGAAATCAAATTAGACAATATAATAAATATTTAATAATCTTAATTTACGAAAACTGTTAAAAATAAGAACAAATATAAGCCACGTGGTGAATATCAATTGTATATTTAAGCGAACAGATTGACCACCACGTCAAAAATATTTGAAGGAAGGAAAAATAATTTTTATGAGAATTCAAATGTAGTTAAAAAAATAAATGTATAGTCAGCGATGAGGCAGCAAGCCACCTACTATTTCTACGGAATTGGCGCAGTATGCAAAAATCAAATGATTCAATTTTTGTTATCTTAATTAGTTTTCAAAGTTGTTGGGTTCCATTCCAAACAAGATTCTCCAACCCCCATTCCATTACTTAAATCTATTACCTATCTTTCACTAACCTACTCAACAACAAATAAATTTCCCAAATTCAACATTTTTTTTCACTATAAATCCCTAAAAGTGGATTATGTTTTAATTCCTAAAAGGGGAAATAATGGGTAGTGTTGGATTGTTGAAGAATTCCGCCATGGTTTGTGCTCCATTAATGGCGACATCAGTGGATCAATTAATTGATGAAATGGTTGAGGCTAAATCACAAGGTGCAGATTGTGTTGAGATTAGGCTTGATGCTATCCACAATTTCCAACCTCACAAACATCTTCAACTTCTCTTCAAAAATAAGCCACTCCCTATTCTCATTCTTTACAGGTATTTCTTTTTTTTAATCTATCTCTAAAGTTTAAAAACATTAAAAAAACATACTCTTTGAAAAGACAATAGAATTTATTAATTTCAGTATATTACATTAAATTTATAAGATTTAAAGGCTATAATTAAAATAAATATAAAAGGAAAATATTTACGAAGTAGAATGTTAAGTTTGTATAGGAAGAACTATAACAAATATGATATTAACTTCTAATCTGAATCCAAAACTAAAGTTGAAATAATATATCTAAACATTGAAAACTTTATAAATTCACTAAAAATATTTGAGAAAGTAGATTATAATTAATGTTTTATTTATTTATAAATAAGATTATATATATTATATCGATTTAATTTTAATTTGGTTTAACTTTTTTTTAATATCTCACCAAGAACAAATTCTTTTTATTAATTTGTTGATATGTTTTGACATTACTATTTGACTTGTTTTCAATATGACTAGATATTTAAAAAGTAAATAAATAAATATTTGCATGGTATAATAGTATTTCCTTTGAGAATAAATTCTTTATAAAAAAATTATTTTTAAATAAGCAAAGTAACATTCTTTTCTATTATTTTGGGGAGGGGCCACAATTTCCGTTCAAATTAAGAATATGTTGGAAAAAAATAAAAATAAAATACCAATTGTTGATGTCACTTGTCAGAAAAATCCATCAGAAAAGTCCACGCCCAACTTTCAAATATAACATTTTAGTTGTTATAAAAAATTTCCAGAATCGAACGATAAAAATTAACAATTTAAAATTTAATTATTGTATTGATTTGTAAAAAAAATATAATTCATAATATTTTTCATTTAATTTTGAATATTTAAAATTATAATACAAAATGTCAAATTAATATAATATAATTTAATTTTAAGTTTTAATAAAAAAAATACTTTAGGGTCAGGAGAGAGTATTTGAAACTTGTTATTTTCACAGAGAAAGTTCCAAACTTCCGCCCTCATTTATTTATTATTTGGACAGTATATGATTAAAAATTAAAAATAGAACTGTTTTTAAAGCACATCTACAGGTGGAGGAATATTTTTAATAGTTTGGTTAATTAGTTGTCTGTAATTTTATTTTACTTTATTGAGAAAGTTAAACTTTCTACTTTATAACTTCTCCCCTGGCACTTATAGAACCAAGTTTGTTAAAAATTCGATGATTAGAATTTTAATAATGTTCATTTAAAATTTCCTGAATAGTTGAATAAGTATATTCTCCATTGAACAGTAATTATCCTCTCAATTGCAATTTATTTGTTTTATTCATTTTAATATATCTAAATAAATGAACCAACTTTTGATTTTGATTACTTTTAAATTTCAACATCTGACCTATAAATTTAAAATTATAAAGTCAAATATTTTTTTCTATCCAACAATAATTATTCATACTATTTTTTTATATTATTATTTAAAGCTATAAAAAATAAAATTAGGGAGCATTAATTTTGAGAATAGAAAATTAGAGAGAACCAAAACTAGGGAGATTATGTGGGAATATCATTTTAACAAAGGAAAGATTTTGTTGAGTCGAGGCATCTTAAATGAGAATGAAAACAAAGTGGAGATTATGTTTCCGTATCCATTTCCTCTTAAACCAAATAAAGGAAAATTAAATTTAATTAAGTTAAATAATAAAATAGTAATATTATGCTATTATTTATTTATTTATTCTTAAGGCGTATGTGAAATTAATAGTAAAAAATTATTTTGTTAGATAGAAGATTATATTCTAATGGATGACTTGGACCTTAAACAAGGTTCAACTTTCATTTTTTTTTCAAAAATAAATAAATAATAATTCCCATTTTCAGGTCAGAATAGTGAAAAAGCAAAAACGGATGCATCTATAATTCAATAAAAACGAAAACCAGAATGCACCAAAATTGGAGATAATATTTCAATACTCAATTATGAATTCTTTTTGTATAACTCAACTTATTTAATTTATTTTTTCCATAAAATTTATTGAGATGAATCTTTTTATATAAAACAAAAAATTTAAAAGTCACTATGAATTTTTGGATTAATTTGTGAATTGTGAGCACAAGACGTAAAGCCATTTATTGATGTAAAAATACTCTCTCAATTCCAAAAACATAAGTGCTTTTTTTTAAAAAAAAAATTTTGGCACATTCTTGTAGAAATTAGTTATTGTATAGATAAAAAAACATTTTTATTAATTTATATTTTAACTAAAGAAAAAATAATGATGTAATACTCTTGATTACGTAAAAATAAAGATAATTATATTTTTAGCACGTAGGATCAAGTCATTTCAACAAGTGATTATGTATGTTGATGTTCAGGCCAATATGGGAAAGAAATGACTTTGAAGCTGATGCCCACAAACAATTGGAAGCCCTTCGGTTGGCTAAAGAATTGGGAGCTGATTATGTTGAGTTGGACCTCAAGGTACTTTACTCTCTCAGTCTGATTTTATTTATGTAGTTTGACTCAGTATAAAGTTAAAGAAAAAATGAAGACGTGTAAAAATTTATGATTCAAAATAAATTATAGAAATTTGTGTGACTATAAAGTAAAATAGACATTTTCTAGTTTACTTGTTACTTAATAAAAAATATCTCATTTTTTTTAAACTGACTAAAAGAAAAAAAAAAAAGTAAGTCAAATATTATTTTAATGTCAGTGGTTGAGCATTAATATGAGTAAGAAACTGTCATTTTGTATGTAACTATGCCAACTTGTAGTTTTGTAGTATGTTTTGTCTTTCCAGATTAGATTCATAGTGGTAGCAACTATCTTAACTGCCACATTTTCCTAATTTATTCTCATTGTATTGTTGTTCAGATAGCTAGTGAGTTTGCAAAAAATGAAAAGTCGAGTTGGAGTAGTGGTTGTAAACTAATTACATCATGCTTCGTGGACAATGTGACCTCAAAAGAAGACCTCAGCCAAGTTGTTGCATCCATGCAATCTACTGGGGCAGATATCCTCAAAATTGTTATAAATGCAAATGACATTACAGAACTAGAGAAAACGTTTCACTTGCTTTCACATTGCCAGGTACTAATACTGTCACGTTATGTAATACTAACATAACGTAAAAGATACAGAAACTGTCTGCTTATCCACACAGAATAAAAGAAAAAGTGTTTGCTTATTGCCTACTCTGCAGGTGCCGCTTATCGCCTACTCTGTTGGGGAAAGAGGTCTCATAAGTCAGCTGTTGGGCCCAAAATTCGGTAGTGTCCTATTATATGGATCTCTTGATGGTAATGCAGTGCCTGGTCTTCCTTCTCTTGCCAGCCTTAGACAAGCCTACGGAGTTGATTTGATGGATAATGATACTAAAGTTTTTGGGCTCATTTCTAAACCAGTGGGTCATAGTAAAGGACCTATTTTGCATAATCCAACGTTTAGACATGTGGGTTATAATGGAATTTATGTTCCAATGTTTGTGGATGATCTTAAGGAGTTCTTTAGGGTCTACTCAAGTCCCGACTTTGCTGGTTTCAGGTATGTCATTTGCACTGGTCATTAAGCTATCAGTTTCTAAGAAAATTACCACATTTATTGTTGAATTTTAGTTAAGAGATCTTGGATATAGAGTCCTTACGTGTTCCTACTATTATGAATTGTAGTGTTGGAATTCCATACAAGGAAGCAGTGGTGAGCTTTTGTGATGAAGTCGATCCATTGGCTGAGGTTTGTATGCGACCCTACTTTCAACTGTATCATTAATTCATTTATGGAATATGGAACAAAATGGTTGACGTATCGAGACTTTGATGTCCTGAAAAACATGTTTTGGGGCGAAGCACTATAGTGTAACTTATATGTCAGTAATGAAAAAATTTAGCTGCAGCGAAGACTTGCATATTTTCTTGATTATGGACTCATGGTAAGAACAAATATTCTAGTTTGAGTTTAATCATAGAAGTCTCTTGAGGAATTATCAGAAATTTAAGTAATGTGAAAACAAAAGGACAAATGAATTTCCTTGTGTGTTCATTGTATATGAGCTGTCAGTAGTGTGCCCTCGATAACCTCCTATCTAAGGTCATGCCTTCAGTAAGTTGAATCTGCACCATATTACCTCTCCTCAATACTTCTTCGGTCTACCTCTCCTCCTCCTAAAACCGACCAAAGTTAACCTCTCACACATCCACATTGGGGCATCTGTGCGCCTTCTCTTCACATGTATGACCCACCTTAGCCTCGCCTTCCTCATCTTGTCTCTACCGGGGACACTCCCACCTTGTCTAACATATCCTCGTTTCTAATTCTCTCTCTCCTGGTTAGTGTTGTGAAAGGCGATCGCCTCGTCACCAATGGCAAGAGGCGAGGCAAGGCGACCCTTCATCGCCTTTTAGCTTTGTGGTGAAACAATCTTAAAAAGGCGATGCCATAATGACAAAATGCTAGAGGCAAGAGGAGAGAAAGGCTAGAAAGGTGTCGCCTTTTTATTTTCTTAGAAAAAGACGACCAATTTAGGGTTTCAAAATTAAAGGTAATTTTAGGATTTTCGACTAGAATCCTCCGGTGTCTTTTCCGGCGACTCCAAAGCCTAACCAATACATATTTCTTCTTCTGACTTGGTCACTTTTACCTTTGTTTTGACTTTTGTTCTATTTTTCTCTATCAAGTTCTAGGCTTTTTTTTTTAGTATGTACTATCTATTTTTAGTTTTTAAATTGAAAAAAATTGCTAATATGTTATTGTTTGATATGCAATTAAATATTTTAATTTTTTGGCATTAAATGGTGCCGCACTTCAAGCGTTCGCCTCGCCCTGTGGCGAGGCAGACCCTTGTCGCCTTTTATCGCCTTTCGCCGTCCAAAACATTGCTCCTGGTATGTCTACACATCTATCTCAGCATTCTCATATTTGCCATTTTAAACATCTGAACATAACTTAGTTGATCTAACCACCACTTAGTAGAACTTACCTTTAAGTCTTGGTGGAACCTTCTTATCATACAAGACTCCGGGTGCAACCCTCTATTTCATCTACCCTGCAACAGTACACTGTGTTACATCCTAATCAATTTTCCCATTACCTTGGATTGTAGACGCAAGATATTTGAAACTTCCTCTTTTGTAAATGGCCTAGGTATCGAGATTCACTTCCAAACCAGCCTCATTGGTCATGTTACTAAACTTACGGTATAAGTACTTAATCTTAGTCCTGCTCATCCTGAACCCTTTGAACTCCAGAATTTGTCTCCAAACCTCTGGTCTAGTGTTAACTCCGTCATTAGTGTGGTCCCTTGGATATGTCGTGTTAATTCATCCATCACCAAGGCAAACAAAAATGGTCTAAGATCTGATCCTTGTTGCAAACCCATCACCACTAGGAAGTGGTCCTAGTCTCCTCCCACTCTCCGTACCCTCGTCTTGGCTTCATATTACATGCCCTTAATCGTCCTAGTGTATGCCACATGTACACCTCTAGCCTCCAAGAATCAACGTAGAATCTTCCTCGGGACTTTGTCGTATGCCTTTTCTAGGTCGCGTGGTTCTTTTCTCCTTCGGCTATTATCATATAGTAGTACCTCCAACCTCTCACCAGGTCCTATGAAACTTAAGCCGTACTTAGAATCTTTCAAGCAAAAAGTGAAACCAGAATCTCACAGCCAAACCATTATGTTGACAATTCGGTAATCAACTGCAAAATCAGTTCTAATAAGTCCCTCTACATTGTTCTTCTGTCTTCTGCTTCTAGTGTATGCTGCTCCTTCTTGATTCTTGTTTCTTGGTATCGGTTGGATTCAACATTACTATGTACTGATAGACTTTCAATAGATTACGCTAAGCTAATGCCACACATTGAAGATTTGTCAATAACAGGTAATGAACAGCTTATATGTAAATCTGTTATTCGTCGGATTCTCTCCTTTGTATTTTCTTGTATCTAAGATTAAGAATATGTGCTGTCTCTAGGTTTAAAATTCTCATTCGGTCATTCCTACACTTGGCAATTCAGAGAAGGAATTAAAACTGACTTGCTAGTGTATTGCCTTATCAAAAGATATGTTGTATGATCACATTGAAACTTCCCATCTTCTTGATCTTATCTACCTCTACCACTATACACCAGGGTGGTTCCCTGCTTCCATTCACCATCTTCTTCATCATTAGCGAGTCAGTTTCCAATATCAAGGGGTGCAACTCCTGTTATACTCAATATGTAAGGCCTTCCAGTATAGCTCTAGCTTCAGCCACCACATTTGTTGCATCTTTCAATTTCTTGGACTTGGCATATATCAAATTTTCTTGACTGTCCCTCAAATAGAAGCCAAGTGAACTAGGCCCAGGGTTACCTCTTGAAACTCCTTCAGTGTTGCATTTGTACCATCCTTCATGAGCATGCTGCCTGACTTCCATGCTACTGTTTTTGTATTTAAAATAGGTTTATATTCTTCCAAACATTTGATCATATCAGACCATAGATATGGGATGTTATGCAACCATGGATAGTTCACCTTTGCTAGATAGAATAAATTGTTATTGATCTGATGCACCACTCTGTTGAAGCTTACTCTTCCCCCATACTTTTGTTTCGTCTATTCCATTGTTCCCATGCTATCAATGTTAGTACAGCTTTAAAGAGAGGTTTAAGCTTAAGGAGAAGTCCGCATTCCACCATGCCTTAATTACTTATGAATTTGAACCAGGTTCAAATGCAAACCTGCTTCAGATGTGAATACCTTCCATACTTCTTAAGCAAATGTACCTGTCCGAAACACCATTGTGTCTGTCTACAACACCAACACCTAGATACGACTGCAATGCCCATTCTCCACAACTGATCATCTGTAGGGAGTTTGAATTCAAAAAATCTCCATAGGCACGTTTGATTTACATGTGCTTGAATGCAAGCTGGGAGGGAGCTTTGTTCCTGATAGAGAACCAGTTCCTTCATCATTGTTCTCAAGAAATTCGTGCTATAAATCTATAGCCATCTATCTGAATGGATATTGGCCCTTATCTTCTGCAACTTCTCTTCATTCTCATCTTGTCTGAATCATTGACAACTGTAGAACCATATTGGTGCTAACTCTTCTTAATTTGTGCCCAGACCATCAGAGAACCAGATTCTTTAGTTCTGATGCACCTCAGAACTTGTTTCTTCTATCATATACCTGCGACATTTCTTCATCTGATGGTCTTCTTATCTTCATCTTCTGGGAGTGGTTACTTCCTTTTATTTGCCCCAATCTCCCTCTTCATGGGATTTCAGTAGGAGGATATATTTTTCTTTTCTTTTTCATGTGTTAAGACCTCCACACACGGTCTTGCTTCAGCCTAACTTGGATCTGATGGTCCTCTTATCTTCATCTATGGATCACTCCTTTGCTCAAGATATTGCATGTTTCTTTCGATTGCCCTGAATCTGGCTGTGCACTTATCTTGCAAGTGTCCATTTTTTCCACAATGAGTGCCTAGACGATTGTGTGGGACAGAGACATACATGCTTTTGCCGGATTGTCTGTCCGGAGTCTTTGTTCTTTTGTATCCATATCTTTATTTATCTTATATGTTAAGAATTGGGTTCTTGTACTTCATTCTTCCTTGTACATAAGTTGTCGATCATCAAAACACTATATGATCCTGAATGTAAATTCAGAGATCGAGGAGACTCCTGACACCTCAAAAATATGTTTATTACAGTTTCGACTAGCTTAGGGTTTGCATTAGAAGGAACCGGCTAGAGAGATCTTTTTGACACTTTTTCCAGGATTTCTCTCTCTCAAGAATTTCTTTTTTATATTAATGAGATACATCAAGTTTCTGCTTTCTCAACCTAATATAATTTACCTTTGTGATGTTCCATTAGTCCATAGGGGCTGTAAATACCATCATACGGAGGCCTTGCGATGGGAAGTTAATTGGTTACAACACAGATTGTGAGGCTTCTATAACAGCCATCGAGGATGCTTTGAAAGGTATAACACCATTTTGTTCAGTGTGTTGTGTTTTAGCTAGTCACTTATCTAATTAAAGGTTAACTGGTGCATCTTCATAGCAAATGGAGAAGCTTTAGTTCCTTGTTCACTCGCTAGGAAAATGTTTGTGTTGGTGGGTGCTGGAGGTGCAGGAAGAGCTCTTGCATTCGGAGCCAAGAGCAGGGGAGCTCGAATTGTGATTTTTGACATTGATTTTGATAGAGCAAAAGCTCTTGCTGCCGCAGTTAGTGGTGAAGCTCTGCCATTTGAAAAATTAGCTTCTTTTCAGCCAGAGAAAGGTGCAATCCTTGCGAATGCAACACCTATAGGAATGCATCCAAATAAAGATAGGATACCTGTGCCTGAGGTATCTCAAACACTTCAACTCCCCTTTATACTATCACTCACAAACAAAAAAATAAGTAAGTTGATGGTTATTTGTAGGGAAGCTTAAAGGATTATGTAGTGGTGTTTGATGCTGTATATACACCACGAAGGACTACTCTACTGGAAGATGCGGAGGCTGCTGGAGCACTCATTGTAAGTGGAGTTGAAATGTTTCTTAGACAGGCTATAGGACAGTTCAACCTTTTCACAGGAAGTAAAGGTAATGCCTTTACATATTGCATTATTCACAGCCATTTGCTGTCAAATGAATTGAGAATTGAGCTTCTTTCCATCAAATGTACAACTACTAACTTATATTTTATGTTTGCAGCACCAGAAGAATTCATGCGTGACATCGTTATGTCAAAATTCTAATCATCAACAATTTCAATTAAATTTGTGAAACGCCAACAAGGCTGGCAAAAATTGCATATTTTTTATTCATGACACAAAATCTTGTTAGTATTTTCTTGGATAGCAAAAACTATTGTTGTAATTCAACAATTTGTGCAAATTTGATTCATTTTAAACAAACCATCTTAATTTTTATTTCTGCAAGTTATTGCTATGTTCGCTGAATATATATCAAATAAATAGAATAAAAGGGAAAGGATCATTATTTACCTATCTACTATGTAGTGAAAAGAAGTTCAAAAATTGATCTCTGTTATATTATGTCCTTGTTCTTAATATCATAAAAATATCTCAAATTTGTTTTATCTTCATTAAACTCATCCATATCAGTCAAAACAACATTTTAATTTATTACACTGTCCCTTCTTCTTTAACCACTACCAAAATCAACATAAACCATCTACACATCTTCCATTTTTAACTTGTAAAATAAATGTAAAAAAATTATTTTACTTTTTTCAATAACAAGAATTGTTAAATCATTCAATGGTTATTACGTAAGTCACGTGATTTTATAAAGAAATTTAATAACTTTGATTTAATAAAATAAAGGGATAATTTCAATATTTCATAGACCTCACTTCAGGTTTCTCTCTATAACACTCACCCATGTAATTTACGATATTACGTCTATCTCCCTTATTTTCATTTTCTTGTAATCATTCTTTAAACTTATATAAAATAAATATATATTAATTTAGATTTGACAATTTTACCATTCTATATATGTATTAATTTGTTCATACTAGTAAATATTGTATAAAACAAAACTCATTTAACAAATGCTTAAAAAAATAAAAAATCACAAATACATTAATACTAAATATATATGTGTGTGTATTTATTTTAAATACGTTTAAAAAATGGTTACACGACAATGAAAATAAGGGACGTAGACATAATATCGTAAACCACAGGGGAAGTGAATGTTTAGAACGAAACCTGGATGGAGGTCTTTGAAATTATTCCAAAAAAATAAATCATGCGTTAAATTAGAGCCCTATACCTTTGGACTATCTAGTTAAAAAATAAATGATAGGAAAACCATAGTGTTAAAAGATGAAATTACATCCTATTTAGAGCACTATACCTTTGGACTATCTAGTAAGAACATAAACGTAAAAAAGCTTAAAATATCCTCGAAGTATTGAAAATGATACAAAATTACCTTTCATCCACTTAGTGGCTCAAAAATGTAATTCTCATCCACCTATTGGCTCCAAAATACCATTGTCATCCACCTTTGGGTTCAAAATTGACGACTTATTTAATTGTTCTAACATTAAACTCCTTAAATATTTTTAAAATACTTGGAGTTCAACTATTGATTATAATTTAATTTATTAATATAATTTATAAACCAACCCACTACTCACTCATTACTAACTAAAACCCATCCAATTAACAATTCAATTATAATATCAAAATCGCATAAACACTACTAAAACACGATGAAATTATAGATTCCTGAAAATGACATCCAAAATTATTTAAGTCCGAATCGAAACCCCAATTAGATTTAGGTTGAACCACTTATTTAGGAGGAGACTTTCAATATGATTCTGTTGGAAGATTGAATTAGAAATTTATGATTAAAGGTAAAGAAGTAATACATCCCAAATTAATTCATGCACTTTTTAAAATATAATTTTATAAATATTTATGATTTGTTTTAAAACCTTTAATATATTATTTTTAAAAAAAGTTATATATGAAGTAACATCACATAATTGAGACGTACGAATAATTAAGATGAACATAGTCAGACTTTTAAGTTTATCGGTAATTTTTATTTAGACACTTGAATGTATGATAATTTACTTCTATAGATATTTTCGCATCAAATTTTTAAAGAAGCTCAATTGGCAGTAGCTTTTCTGTTGTTGTATTAATAATGTGACGGGTTTATTAATTTGGAGGAGTTTAATTAGTAATGGGTGGGCAGTGGATTGATTTATAAATTATACTAAAAGTTAAATTATAACAAATAGTTGAGCTCCACGTATTTAAAAAATATTTAAATAGTTTAGATATAAAACCGTTGAATAAGTGGTCAATTTTGAACCAAAAGGTGGATGACAGGAGTATTTTGGACCCAATAGGTTGGTGGGAAGGGTATTTTGGAGCCAATAGGTGGATGGAGGATAATTTTGTACCATTTTCAATACTATGAGGGTGTTTTAGGTCCTTTTCTAAAAAATAAATTATAGGAAGAGTGTAAATATTATTTTTCCAAATGTTCCTCATTTTGCATGCATATGACACCTTCGGAAAAAAATTTATTCAAACTTTAAGAAAAGCAAAAACACACTAAATGATGCGTTCTATTCTATGGCCAAGACTTATCAAAAATAGGATTTTGATAAGCTGATGGCTAATGTTGTTAAAGTTGACAATCAAATTAAGATGTATCTTGAGGATGCTGGTTAAGAAAAGTGGCCAGGAGTTCATGCAACAGTAAATGGGGGAGAATGATGACTTTTAACATAGTGGAATATATCAATGGTTGCCTTGTTGAGGCGCGACAACTGCGTATATTAGATTTTTTTTTGAAAGAAGTTACAATTCTATTGCGTTCTTGAAACTGTAAAAATAGAGAAGTAGCATCTGTCACGCCCTGAGTTACCCCCGAGACGTGGAAACGGGACCTAGGACCACACGTGATCCAAAGCTAACACTGCTGGCATGATCATGAGCATACTAAAGATAATAAACTAATGCGGAAGCGAAATCATAATTAAAATGAAAAGATGGGGAATACCCATATACTATGACTGAGATATATGAAAACTGATTAGTTTAATACAAAAATATATTAACTCAATACTAAGCTGAAACTAACTATGCATGAAAATAGCCTGTACCTGACTAGAAATGCTGGGACAGGCCCCTACTAAGTCTAGCAAAACTGAAACTAAAGGACCAAATATACCAAAAAGAAACTCATGACTATTGTCCTCAGCGAGTGAGGACTCACCACTAATTTTGCTGAATTGTACATCGGAAATCAATTTAAGCATGATCTGGATGTTGAAAACCTTAACCTACATCACGAGAAAATTTAGCGCACGTATGCGTCGGTACTTGAAAGGTACTAAGTTTGTAGGATAGAGTAAAGCTGAAATAAACAAGCACAAAAACAAGTATAATATTCTGAACATGATATACTGAATGCTAAGCTAGCTGGATGCAATGATCAATTTTTTAACATGTTGAGACTGAATACTGACTGAACTGTAGGTATGGTCAATGCAATAGAGTCTGAATGAACAGTGGGAGTTACTAATAACCGACAATAAAACCACATGAGCTAAATGTGGAGTATGATGTATAAACTTAATCGAGAGAACCCAATATACCCTGCCAAAGGTATAGAGGCATGCTGATGTGATCACTAAACTGATGCCCACAGAGGCGACTTACAACCTACTTGGATAATAGTTTTGGGACTATTTGGGTACGCTGAACCCTAGTCAAACTCGATATTTTGCTACTCCCAATAAATTAAGTGATTAACACATTATGACTAAGTTTCTGTAATACTGGATAACTCAAAACTGCACATGCAAACTGAGGATGCAACAATAAATTTGATAATGATGCATTAACAACTGATGAATGTATAACTGAATGACTGATATATTTGACCTAGCATGTGTAATTGAAGAACTAAAGAAATACGTAGCTAGGGTTCTAAAATTCATGCAATAAACTAAGTAATAATATAGTAATCGTATTTGGAACATATAACTAATTAATTCATGATAATCTGCTGAAGTTGTAGAAACCCTGAGTTTATAAATAAACGGGAATCATGAAACTCACTAAATTTTAGGGACCTAATGGGTGAAAGGAACCCACTAGTCAAATCCACATATCTGGTTATGAATTCCATGGAGAAATATTTTCATTTCGGGGTTGACATTGATGGAAACTTGCTGCATTCTTGAACTAGGGTTCTTGATCATTTTCTCCTCTCTTGCTTTTAATTTTCTTTGTTTTGATCAATGATTTGGACTTAGGTAAGTTTTAATTTTGTTTCTAGACTTAAACTGACTAAAACATCATAATTTAGGGTCTAAACGTCATAGCTTAGGGTCCAAACGAACAAGGAAAATACCAAATGACCCCTTAACTTAAAAGCTGTTGGAATCACTGACGGAGTAGACCGACGGACCATAAATCGACTGACGATCCATACTAGTCGAATATCATTTGAGATTGAGAACTAAAAGTCAGTTGGAAAATCGAAAGAGTTCACCGACGGACCATAAGTCGACTGACGGTTTGTAGTGGTCGACCATCGTTCGCAACTGAGAAGTGGGAGTTAGCTGGCCAATCGACGAAGTCGACTGATGAATCGTAAGTCGAGTGATGGTCCTTACTAGTCGACCATCGTTCCCGATTGAGAAATGGGAGTTACATGGACAATCAACAGAGTTGACTGACGGTCCCTACTGGTCGACCATCGTTCATTACCGAGGAGTGAAAGTTGATTGGCCTATCGACGAGTCGACTGACGGTAAGTCGACTGACTGCAAGTCGATTGACGGTCTGTAGTTTGCTTTGTCGTTGAAACCTGCAACTTTTGAAAATCTGCTTTTGGTCTATTTTGGATATGGGGTGTTACATTATCTCCCACTTGGGATCATTCGTCCTCAAACAAAGAAAACTAGTTGAAATGGAGGGAGAGGGCTACAATTCCTACAACTAAACACAAGAACTGAATTTCTAACTGAACTGAGTTCTAAGAACATGCAAATACACTAGAATTGCAAGTACAAATTGAAGGAACATGATACTAAGATAGAATTTATGCATGAATAACTGAAAAACTGAAGAGAAACTATTACCTCAAGCTGGAGTAGAATAAGAAAGAAAGAGGCGAGGATACTTGCCTTTCATGGTTGCTTCTGCTTCTCAAGTAGCTCCCTCTACAGACTGACTCCTCCATAAAACTTTGACTGAAGAAACGGTCAAGGATATCAACTGGTACATCCTCATAAGAAAGACTATATTTCACAGCCACACTCTCTAATGGCACTACGGAAGCTGGTTCACCCACACACTTTTTCAAAAGTGAGATATGAAAGACCAGATGCACTAGTGCTAGTTTTGAGGGAAACTCTAAATCATAT